ATGTAAATGTATGTCCCGGAGGGATTTGGCTTGGCGATGTCACCAGGACTGCCCGAATGCCGAATCCTGGACTGCATACGTGACGCATCGTAATTTCTGCGTGAAACTGATTCGCGAAGACAAGGTCATGCATCAGCAGAAGTTAATGAAGCGATTCTGCACTAACCGCAAACTCCTGTACAGATACGTTAACGGCCTTCGAAAGTGAAGCGTGGGGTTCCAGCACTATTCACGACTAATGGGTGCACGCGATCAGCGATGGAAGCAGCTGATCTCCTACGGCTTCAGTACTCCCAAATTTTCCAGCAAGTAACAAGCACAAACACTCTCCTCATTTCTAATACTCCACCATCTGGTTTAGAAAACATCACCTCCACTGCGGAAGCTGTGTTGAAGAAGTTGTTATCCTTGCGTATCCACAGTTCTCCCGGAGCTGACAACATCCGATCAAAAGCTCTGCAGGCGGTAGCTAGTGATCTAACAGAACCACTGACATTTTTCTATCAGCTATGTCTAGAAGAGAACCGTATTCCACCAGTATGGAAGCGAGGAGTCATCACTCCTATTCATAAAGGAGGCAGCCGCACTGATCCTGCAAACTACCGTCCAATAACACTACTTCCCGTACTATCCAAAACGATGGAATCAATCATCGCAGACGCGCTGATGCAATACCTGGAAAGCCACAGTTTAATAGCCCCAGAGCAACATGGCTTTCGTCAAAAGCATTCGTGTAATACTAACCTATTACTTGCACGTAACAGATAGACTGAAGCTGTTAACGATGGAGTAGGGGTCGATGTCTTCTACCTGGACTTTTCAAAAGGGTTTGATCGCTTAAACCGCCGCATTCTTCTTAAGAAGCTTCGGAATTACGGCATTGGCGACCCAATCCTGAGTTGGAATGAGAATTTTCTACAAGAACGACGGGTAGTGGTGAGAGTCCGAGAATCATTTTCTCATGCAATCGACGTGGAGTGTGGAGTACCACAAAGCTCGGTTCTTGGACCTCGTCTATTCTTGGTGTTCATTAACGATTTGGCGAGATAAGTTACTTCCGATTTCCTATTTTTCGCTGATGATATCAAGATATGGCGAAGGATCAGAGGACCGGACGACCACGAACTGCTCCAGCGCGATCTTAACACAGTGTCGAACTGGTCAGTTCAGAACGCCCTACCGTTCAACATAGACAAATGCCGCGTTGTACAATTACGTCACAGACATAACTACATCCATTTACTTGGGACAAACGGATCGCATAATAGCTCCCGGGAACGTGATCTTGGTGTGATCGTACAGTGTGACCTCAACTGTTCAAAGCAGGCTGAGGCAGCTGCGAAATGAGGAAACCAGCACGTTGGCATGCTGCGAAGGGCATTCGGGAGCTTTGACCCATCAATCTTCACAATGATGCACAATTCCTATGTGCGCCCGCATGTTGAATACGCTATCCAAGCTTGGCAACCTTGGTTGAAGCGTGACCTAGAAGCGATAGAGGCACCACAACGGACAGCAACAAAGAATGTAAAGGGTCTGCGCTATCACTCTTACCACCGAAGACTGAAGTTGCTGAGATTTTGCAGCGGACGATATCGATGGCTGCACGGCAATCTCATATTAGCGCGTCAGATACTGAGTGAGCCCAACCAAGTATGCCGCCATTTGCTGAAACTTAGCCACAACACGCAGCTCAGGGGTAACTGCTTAAAGTTGAAGGAACAATACTGCCGTCTAGAGTGTCGACGGAATTACTTTTCCCTTCGGGTTTGCCAACCCTGGAACGCACTCCCAGACTCAGTAGTATCCTCTCCTATTTTGGATATTTTCAAAGAACGATTAGATGTTGCTCTTAGCTCTCAGCATTTTGTTACCTAAATTACTATATTGTGTATTACTCTAAGCATGCTTTTCAATAGGATTTATGTATCAAATGGACCTAAGTGAGCGACCATATTTTACTTTTCTCACTCTTTACCTCAATGATCACTGCACCCCGGTGTCTTTCTGAACGTTTACGCTCGATAATTTTTTAATTTTACACTATTTTAATTGTCAAACTATTCATCTCGGCAGACGTTCGATAGATGACCCAGGCATATTTTGATTTCATCACATTCACCTCAACCATCCTAGGGGACCTGTCAAGCACTTGCTTTTATCCCGTGCTAAATCATTGTTCATTGTACCCGGGGCACGAGTGAAAAGGTTTAAGTGCATTGTGAGACCCATGCTAGAATATTGCACCTTCATCCAAAGTCACCCGCGTAGGACAGATCGGGTAGGTCCATAAACTATCCAACAGTCATTTACAAAAGTGTTTATTAGACGATCTACCGCTATGAACTACGAAGACGTTTTCACCGCCTTCAATTAGACCCGCTGTGGCTCCGCCGGTGAGAAACAAGCCAGTTTTTTATTACAATATTATGCATTACTGAATATACGCTACCGGTAAAGCTTTCACCTACAAAATTACGCTACATTTGGGGGAAGAAATAAGGGAACCTAACAGTCTTTTCCAAATTTTGCCTGGAATGCTATGCTTATTTATGGAACAAACTGCCAGTAAAACTACGGGCAAGTGAAAATGCAGCGAAATTTTATGTGTCTTTGGGTGCTTTTCCCACTCTGCCGAATATAATGAAGACGCTCGATTCTCAAGTGCTTAGAGATATGTTAACTGCATATGACCCAAACACTACATGATAGATGATGCAAGCTCCCCCCCCCCCATCCCAGCACACGTGTTCTACAAGCAAACGCCAACCTTGAAGCCTCACTTGCAAGTGATGAAAAAATACCCGCGTATTTCTTACTTCTAACCTCTTTACTTTGCTTCCACTATACTGTTGACTATACAAATCTGATAATTCACATCTTCAAGTCGTTGTGCAAGGCGAAACCAACTTATTAAAATATTGAAATCGCTTTTCCTGTGAAAGCTTATCACATCAGTCAATATGATGGTATCCTGCCCTACTATGAGATAGGCTGCTTGTTTCATTATTATTTTGTTGGCTCTATCCTTTTGTATTATTTCCCTGTATGCTTCTTTTTTTTCATTGTTGGTCACGACTGGGCCGTCCTATTTAGGTGATGGCATGGAGCTTCCAAGAAGAATACTTACCCACAAAAGGCGAATAGCCAAAGACCCATGATAAATAAAAAGGGTACTGAACAAAAAGCATAACGGTGCGCTCCGAACTGTTGAATTCACACCTAGTGGCATTCGTCGCCAATTCCGGTGAATTAGGTCATCATGTACACATGTAGAAAATCAATGAATGACGAACCGGCAGACTGGTTGAATGGCCAGCTTACCAGATGGAAGCCCAAATGATAACCAAAATCGGTGGTGGCTAGTCCGCTTCTAATCCACTCCGACATACGACCAGATGGAAGCAGGTCCCATGGAGATAATCTCAGGGATAATTATACAATCCAACCTACTATGGAGACCACTTGTCTGTGGCAACTATCTGTATTTGGTGACCACATTTTGTCGGTCCCTTAAGTGGTCGCCTTAGACGGAGTTGGTTGTATTACTTCAATTGATCTTTTTACGATACTTCTTTGCAGTGAATCTATTGGACTCTTGTCTTTGGATACCTTAACTACTCATTCTTATTATCGCCTCGACATCAACCAGTAATTTAATCCCTAAACTAGGTTCTCAGTTTTAGTGCAGTGTCTTTCTTTTCTATCTAAACCTAAAGTCGGCTAACGATCCGTATGCTTTCCTAATCACCCTGTGCTCTATATTTTGTACATGACCATGATTTGTTCATCATGTATTCTTGAACGTGTGTAACATTGTACAGAACAAACTATTATTCATTTAGTTATCTAATTACCTACTCATCCCACCGCAACATCAACTTTTACGTTGCACGGTTGAGCAAGCCATAAATCTTCATTTACAAGTGAAGGCTGAAACAAAAGCAACTGAACTCTGTCTCAAAACCACTCCGCGAACACACACAAAACATCTTGTTTTATCGGGTCAATTCGATATCTAGATCGAGGAAGATCCAGGCTATTTACTCTGCATTAACTCGCCTCTATGTGCTTGTTAAGTTACATAACTCAGCTAACAAAGCTGCAAAGCTGTGATGATTCATATGCAGCCACATTGATGTAGTAACCCTAACTCTCCTTTTTCCAGATGAATAAAACTATACCAACTATAGATAACTTGACTTGTATTACTCCAGGCTATTATGAACGACTCTGTGCTAATTGTCTGCCTTTGTTTGCTGTCGTGGATGGCTTTATCCCTTTTTCACTTTTCTTCCCTTTCCTTGAGCTTACTGCCCCCATGGTATCCCCGACCTGAACCAGAGTTAAAATCTGACAATGCTCCTGTTCAGATTAGAAGCGACAGTGATACCCCCCAAAAAATCTTCGCAATCGTACTTATTGCATCCCTGCGTAACCAACCATCGACAATGCCACGTGTGTGAGCACGTTGCACATGCAAATACGATCCATCCCTTTGAGGGTATGATTTCTTGGTCCCAAAAGAAATATATATATATATATTTATATATATATATATATTATACAGTAAGTCTACCAAGATAAGTGACGCTTCCAAGCATACCGTAGCGCAAATCTGTAAGATTTCTGGCTGCCAAACCAATATTCAACGCGGCTATTTGATGATTTAAGCAAGTAGAGATTAGTGTCTGAACTGTTCCAGAGCTACTGTTCAAACCCACATTTAAATTTACTTTCGTATCCACTCCGAACAGTCGCATTAGTTTGTCATCCAACTGGGAATGTGCTTGTTTCAAATTCGCCATTTTGGAACAGTGTAAACCGAGCGAAATATTTATACTCGAAGTGTACATTTTTGGCACAGGCAAGCGGTTTGCTTGGTTTATATTCATTCGTGTTACTGTACCATTCATCAAAGTATGATTGTGTCAACTTTGTTAAATACGCCCCCTTCTGTAGCCTCCGGTTAGTTGTTCACTTCTCCAACGTTTAGTGACCTCTATTTTAGAGCGCATCTAAATAAAATTAACAGATAAAACAGCATTTTCTAGTATAATATATAGTGGCCAATATTCTTTTATACAGACTAAGAATTGCATTTGACTCTACTCACTGGAATCATGCAAAGGGCTAAACAAGTCGGGTTAGTAAATACAGTGAAGGCCTAACGCGAGGTCCACGAATAGCTCACTCTGGCCCATCTACGAAGCCTCTGGCGAAGACTCTGAATGTGTAATACCATTAAATTCACCGCCACATATGTGTTAAATGCACTTTAATAGATGGTTAGCTGCAACATCCCCTACACCAGAGCAGCAAGACATTTTGATGTCAGTCACTGAATGTAACCGCACCGACAGGGATCTAACCAATTGTGACAACAACGGAACATGCACAGCAATGTATCCGCATTATTCTCTTTCTCACTGAAGTCCGCACGCAGGACTGACCTGCTGGCTAAAGTTCCAACCAATCAATTTTCATCATAAACGAAATAGTCCTCACATATATCTGGACCATTAGACAGTCCACTGGTTTCGCAAACATGCGCAACTGGGTCCTGACCAAGCCAACAATGTGCAGCAGTTTACTAGGAGGATCCCGGTTGTACAATTCTGCCATCTGTGGATTTTCCAGCATTATAATCTGGTTACGATCAAAACTTGATGTGACACGTCTAATCAAAATGCCGCATCGTTGTTCCACTCTGTTTCCAATACTGTGGAAACCATCCGGAATAGGTTGACCATCAGCCAATTCTTCTTTGGAAACCGACTTGCTCTTATGTGCCACTCGCTGCAGCCTGCTTTAGATATTGATTCTATTTGATCTATGGAGGTTACCTCTCCAGCACTGTTAGGACACATTCCGTTGAACGCTATGAAGAGTTTCGGTACCCCCGACATTAGATACAACTCAAGCCACTTCTTTTTGGAACGGTCAGCAATTGTTCTCTGTAGTTCTCATGGTTCCCAACGAAGACATTTGAATGGATCGTACAGTTTCATTCTCTTCGAAAGCATATCACAAACTGATTCTAGGAACAGACCTTCAACATGGTACCTTTTTGTGCAGATGCCAGTTGAAATCACACATATCCTTTGGTTTACTAAGTAACCCGCTAAACTTCACACAGTACGACTCTTATGTTAGGTCCGAACACATACAGTCGCTCTAGAAGTGACACCATCCACTTAGAAGCGATGATGCTCACCTTTTCCTAGCACTGCAAAAGTATACTAATTCACACTAGTTTCATGCAGCCGGTTTATTGGATTAGCACAAACCATTTTACTTGAGTTTGAAAAATATTTTTGAAGACAATTAGAGGAACCCTTCTTTTATTTTCCATTATTACACAAGTGGTCCCATATGATATAATAAGACAGTTTATTTCCTACCGTGTCAGTAGCCTCGATGTAGAGCCTTAAAATATTACAAGCTCTCTTTTTATAGCAATAGGGTTCTTGTGCCTGCGCACGCCACAATCCTTCACTCGTTTTATTTCATGTGACTTTTCATCACTTGAACCTTCCTGGTGAGTTAAAAGATAAACGCCTCTGTGTTGTTCCATACTGGGCACCTGTTCAGGCATCTGTACTCTCTCTTGTATATGCGAATCCACACACGCGTCATCGTATAAGGTAGAATACCCTCCATATATCAGTCATGGGTCTCCAAATTTTACCTAGTTGATTCATTTGACAACAACTAGCTACCTGACAAAACGTGGCCCATTACGTAATGACTAAAGAATATTCCGAATTATTGACTATGACTAATGCACTGCGTGAGTATCTATGTAGCAAGAACAGATTTAGTTTGATAGGCTTGGGTCATCCTTAAGCCTGCTACGCAGGTTGCTATAGACACCACACCTACTCCCTTCAACCCATCGTTTGGAGGAATGTAGATGCAGTCTTCATATGGCAACTCACGAAGGCACTAGTCTAAAATAAAAACAGAACATGAACCTATTTTTGTGGGTATTTCTAAGGGTTGCTTTTTAAATGTAGTTTAAGGCATTTACGTACTCCAATAACTTTTGGTCCGTATTTGTTTGAACTAGCGGAAAATACACTGATCCTCAGCATTTTAAACTCATTTTAAGCAATCCTCGCTTTTTAAAATGATTTTCTTCCTGTTTGCTTACAAGTAGCAGACAAAAGTGAAACCCGAAATTTCGAGCGTAAATTCATTGTTTATTCATCGAAAATTACCAAACTTGCTACATTTCTGCTGCTATATGCCTTCACCATAGGATCAATATTCATTTCAATGTGAAAGTTATTGCATTGATGGAACGTAACCATCTGTTCTGTTTTAACGACATCGGCAAAAAATAAGACCGTGACATGTACATTATTCGTAACATGACTAAAAATGTGTTTATGTGTTATACACGCAGGTATGTATTAAGATTACACTATTTCAGGGTGATAACTTACGGATAGTTATAACATACACACATCCCTATAATGTAAGTTTCCTTGTTGTATATGTCTGTATACTTATCAAATTAATTACAGCCACTTTTTTCAACAGAGATCTTAGTATGTACTCTGTTGTAGGTGTTATCACAGTGCCAGAATCTGATGGTGTCCTAAAAGAAAAGATTTACATTACTGTTCCGAGTGATAGAGAATACTTTGACTAACATGAGATCAGTGAAAAGATTTAGGATGCTAAATCTCTTGACGACCTCTCAGAGAGGCAGTTACTCAGTGAGGCTGAGGCTACCGTGGCTTTACCTCATGGATGAGTAATTACCGTCAGCATGGATGGTGAATCATCCGAAGCGGATTCAGAAAGCGAAATTCACTGGGCCTATGTTTGTTTCTCTGCCTGCGATTGCAAAGGAATTCAGCTTACAATAATTAAAAAAAGAAAACAGGTCTTGGGTCATCAGGGACTCAGGGGACAATGATGCGAAAGTGCACCTGATTTCTTAAAGGAGGAACTTATGCCTTATAGTTCATATAAAAGCTTATTTGCTGACTGTCACTGAACATATAACAAGGCGGCCAACTAAATGTGCCCGCTAAAAATATGGTATAACGATGGTTGGGATCTGGGCCTTTCTGGCTATTCTGTTAATATCTGGCTATAGTTTTTTGTCGAAGGCCCCTGTGTTGGGATCCTGAACAAGATGACAACAAAACAGCGATCATTAAAACAGTGAGACGAGAGTTGGTGTGGTTACAAAATATCTCCATCCGACAAGCAATGAAAAGCTCCTAGCAGATGATCAATTTGCAAGGTTCAGACAAGTTTAGAACTTTATAAATAATAATCATATAAAACACTTCTCCATGGGAAAATATGGCCAAGGACGAAGTATGGTACATTTTGCGGCCGTTCTGGACTGGATCGATGCATCAAGGGAAAGCCTTAGATTTGGATAGAAATCATTGGTCATTGCAAATTCGTCAGGCTGTGCTGCGTCACTGAATCTCTACCAAGGAGCTCAGGCCAAGTATTTTAAAACAATTGGTCTGGAATATTGCATTGTCATGGTCCCGACCTACAAGCTCCCGAAGGAGCGGCCATATCACACTTTTGATACATTGTTACAGGCTTGCCATTCATGAAAGCCGTAACCAATAAAGGCATAAGAAAAATGGGGACAGTTTGGGCTAACAGGACTGGCAAGCAATCAATGGATACAAAATGCCTGGAAAAACTAAACCAAGGAGCTTATGACCTCAGTATTGGAAGTCGGGATAACGTGTTCATTTTGTCTTGGAAAGACCTCTCTGTTGTGAGGCACTTGCCGCAACTCTGTTGTTGCATCTTCTCTAACAAGGGTAAAGTAGTGGTCGGAAAAGGACAAAAAGACATTAGTTGTTGAAATTCGTGGTATCATAAGCAAGTATAACACTTCGATGGGAACAGTAGTTCGATTGGACCAAACTGTCCGTCAACGCAGAAACAATCCTATCACCAAAGTGTGTTAATGGCCGTTATTCACTTTTCTCCGTTATGCTGCAATCAACGGTGTCTGCTTTTGTATAGTAAAACAAATGCACACGAGCAAAAGCAGAATGACATGTTTGCTTCAAAAAAGCTCTCGTGAAACTTAAGCGGAGGCCGCAGCTTAAGAATGCGTCACGGTTTCGAGACGCCTATCATCGGGACGCGGGTTGCTACCCGACCGACGGTACCAGGGTTGAGTCACGCCGAAAGCTGATGAAAGTAGTTCGTCATTATCACACGGGTTGCTACGTGACAAGGCGCAAACAGGCTTGAAATCTTTCCAGGGTACATGGCTTGAGTCAGATCAGAAACTCACAACAGGAGATGGTAGATTGCGACCTATAAAATGTACCTTGATCTATGCCTAATATACTTTTTCTAGCAGCTTTCGTTGATCTGTGTTGTCCCCGGCTGAGTTGGCAGGGGCAGAGAGCTGTGGGAAAGCAGGGTTACAACAAACTCTACTTGCAGATGTATCTATCATAGGCAAATGTCCCACAAATTTCTTTTACACCCAGCAGCGATCGACAAAATTTTGTTTATGATATCAGGAAATTTTGCTCTGGACACCATTTGCCATCAATGCCTAAACAAAGTGGATATCTTCACTGTGTGTAGAAGGCCGTTTCAATCTAACCAGTGTGTGATGTGCCACATCGGTGAGCCTGCTCCGCGGCATACGAAGCATAGACAATGGAAATTTATGTTTCGTGATTGTGTCCTACATCTACAGTTATTAGGAGTAAATATCTGCTACACTAACTGTTTTAGAAATAGATCAACATCACGGCAAATACGATAAACTATGTATTTGCTCAGAACAGGTGGCTTTTCTTATAAGTTCCCCTGTCGTCATTATAAAGAACATTTGGAAAACCCCTTATTTCTGCAAATTTCTATTTACCACATATCGAACCTCATGTGTTTTTCCACCATATTCTATAGCACATGTGAAAAAGGAAAAAGCCTACAAATATCAGGAACATCTGGGTTTAAAGCCAAAACTTGGCCCGAATCCAACAACTGCGTGAAGCATACAACGGAAAATTTTACGCTGTTTTTACATGACACCATTTAGTTTACAGCGCAAAAAGACATTTAGAAATTGTAGATTATGGTCTGTCAAAGAAATATGCATTATGTTGAAGATGAAGAGCGGTTACAATGAAACTGTGTAGCTAAACACTTTAGCTTTACGGCCTCTTAATCAAATAGGTGAAAAAATGATTGCCTGCTAAGTCGGTCGGAGCAAATCACTATTATACGACCATGTTACTGCTTAAAACATATTCTGATTCACAGTCGTACAAGCCATCACACAAGAATATACGGTTTAATGCTGACCGCCTCTTGAGTATTCGTGGCGAAATATAGCACAGTTAGTTACAGAACTTGGCTGTCATCTTTCACCGAGCTAGCTGCAAGCCTCAAAAATTAACGCCACGCGTTTCCAGGGTGACAAAACTTCATTCGGTCAATCTGATGGAGATGCGCTTTGGCTTCGTCTATATTTCCATTGGTTATCCAATACATGTTATAGACGTCAGTTTCCGCCACGCCCTTCTCACTACATTCCCTTTCATTCCAATGAGCTTAATTTCATTGATTGATCAATCTACTCGGGGAATTCAACGTAGTGCGTGCAAGAAAGAATTTCTTTGACCTAGTGGTATCAGTTGCTCTCTGAAGCATCCTCTTAAACAAGAATTTCCACCTACAAGGATTTGTCCGTACTATACGTACAAATTTGAAGCTGATGAAGAGTGTCTACGGACCAAAAGCCACTAGCCCCCATGTTGTCATTTGCTTAGGGTCACTGTCAATGCATCCGTCACAGCTTACCTGATCCACGCTGCTTTTGCCCATGGCAGTTTGGTGTCGTATTGATGGTAGAAACTGCTCCGGTGACAAGGCGACTGCAGAATAAAGAGAAATGGTAGCGTTTACAGAAACCCATTTTAGTATTCCATGAAGACACTGGAGCACATACGGGATACAAAATGTTTATGAGAAAAACATGGAATTAAGTAAGGGAGTTGCTCACTTATTTAGCGTTTTCTGTACAATTCTATCAGACTTTTTATCGGTCTTTTTTGGACAGCATAAACCAAGACCCCCTGCTGTGAACCATGCGAAGAAATTCATCAGTAATTGCGAAGGTCGTTGCTACAACATTGGTAACCTTTCAATTGACATACCACTGATGGAGCGTAACACTAAACGCTCAACGGAGTCCGTTAAAGAGCACACTTTTCCTGCTCCGCTTGCCTGACACTCGGCTGTACGTACATAAGGGATAACGCATTTGTCAGTCAATTTTCTTCCGCAGTGATGAGCGAAGTATTTGACATAATCGTAACATGAAGCTAATTACCTAGATTGAAATACTGTCAACTTTCATTGGACAAGAAACTTGCTCGTTGGTTCATAGTCAGTTGAAATCGATGCAAATTCTCCACACTACCTCCAGTTTCGAAAAGTATATTTAAGGCCTGTGTGCTAAGACTGAGTGAACTGGACGAGTTTGTAGCATAGATTTAGTGAGCAACTTAGGCACTTTCAACCTTGTAGACTATGCACCACACAGTATCTGAGTGAGATATATTCGCTTGAGGTCCCTTTGCGTTATGACCCAGAGTAGATGACAGTAAATATGGAAATGCTTGCTTCGCATGAATTTGCGAATGTGCTTTTGCTGTCCTACCATACGACATTATAAAGTTAGTGATGCAGTCTGTATTCAAGGAATTTCCTACACCTTACAGCTACTTTGACGTCTTCGAATGATTACGGACATTACAAATTTTTTGGGATAAAAGCATGCGTCGCAGACGAAGTAAATGTTCTCTTTCCTCGAAATGCAAAATTGTAGGCTGTATCCATTTCCTTGAATAGATATGCTGGAGTAAGTGTGAGAAAAAACGTAACATATGAAACACAAGCAAGTAAAACTACACCAAAAAGATGTGATTCTGTATAAAGAGTAATTTACTTCTTATGTCCCATATATATCGGGAGTAGTCTGTGCTATTCCCGTTCCCGTTGAAAGTTAATTACTGATCATAGTATATGAAGTGCTTTTGGGTATTTTCCTGCTTTAAAGAATACACTAGAGATCATTGCGATGAAATACTGATAAGCTAGAGGAATTCTACCTAATATGTGTCGGTAAATATAACCCTGCTATCTGATTTTTGCTCCAAAAACCTTGCCACTTAAATGTTTGGAATAGTTGAGTTGTTATTAAAAATTTCTCCATATATTGGATCTGAACTTTCAAAGAATTATGATGCACTCGTCTACCTCAGCCGTATGAATGGTACTTTTTCTCCTTGTATACCCCCTTTTAAGTGATGATTGTGAATCGGGAAACAGGACTATTCACAAAATGAAATTTTGTGTTGCCGCTTAGTAGGCTGGTTCTCCCAAGTCGCGACGATATTTCAGCTGTTTCACACGTTTTCTTGAAAGCACAAAGTAAGGACACGAATTAGCACATTTACGATACGTGAAGTTCGACAGCCAACACTTTTACCCGATCGGACAATACATGTTCCAACCAAAGCATTCAGGTTCATCCAACTTGTATTTAGCATCGGTTGGATGAACAACAAAACACCGATCAGACAAATTGGTAGAACTAACGGCTTAGTGCAAATGTCACTTCAGCATGATGAGCGTAACGCAATTGAAACAACTTCGCACATACCTCCCATTTTCGTACGTCAGTGATTCTAGCAAGCCGCAGTGGTATTTGTTTTGGTATTGGAACAATCCATTATCTATGAAGGTCAATGTGAATTGGGTGCTGCCGCCCAGGTAATACCACAAAGTACCGTATAGCGTGGTTTTAAGCAAATCACGACCGTCCGGGGGCCTAGATATTTTGTGAAATCTTCGCTTGACTTGGGTTTAAGCGTTTCCTAGCGACTCGAGAAAAATAGAACAGGCAATGACAAGTCGGACTACTAACTAGGGTTAGAATTGGACCAGCTCAAAAGACACAAGAAACGTAATACTGTCCATCTCCGTTTTAGACGGTCTCACCGACTAGATTGACCATGGATCACTTCAACAAGAATCACGGTCCCCAATGCGAATGCACGTAGCTATCCATTCAAACAAGGACTACTTCAAAGTGGTTTTTCCAATTAGGTCACTTCACTTGAAGAATTAACTACAAAATAAACTTAAACGGAATCGGGTGCATAGTTTTCGGTCATCCGGGAACAATGACTTGCACGTGATATGAGCTTATAGTATGGGGATTTCGTAGATTGAATCTCCGATTTACCTAAACTGCGCTGATGTGGGTGACGTCTAGGTTTTAACAATGCAGCTTCTTAAACTATAGACTAACGAGATAGCGCAAAGGTTCATGTTGACTAAATACAACCATAAAATTTGTCCCCTAGTTCAGCCATTGACAGATTTGTCTAGGTCAGGATGAAAACTATCTGGTGCAGTTCCATGCTTCAAACCAGTTCACATGACCATCTCAGATCGATGTTTGATTGCAGTCGTTGATGAAGTCGGGAAAAATTGATCGATCAATATTCAAACGTGTTTCTTAGGTTTGTGTTGACTTGATTTCGATAAACATAACATACAGCACTGATGCTGCATGTTCGTTCGATGCTTGCACGGAGACTACGGATCTCCACCCCGCCGTCCTTAGTATAAAGGGAGCTTTCCAAGAAGATGAGGACGAAAAGGTATTCACGGTGAATCTCCTATTTGTAATGCGGGAAATGGATTAAGGCGGCCGAAGCTTCGGAAGGAAGAATTCACCTTGTTCAGTAAATACTATTGGCCGTTCCAGCACCAAACAAAGGCAACGTCCTGGACGCCTGTACTTATGGTCAGCACGGTCTGTATCCAAGTGATAAAAACGGCAACTAAAATGCTAATCCTCAAAAACGTTTTCAGTTTTGTCCTATCCCATCTCTTCACTGCCCATAATCGGTTTGTTCCTCGAAGGTCTCTCCGAGTTACAACCGATAACCGGATGCGTGTCAGTGCAGTTATTACACTATCCATACCTTGAAGATAAAATTTTTGTTAATAGTAGCATCAGGGCTTCTAAACAGCAGCCCATGTGAACCACCGGCTCCTCTATTTCAAACTTCCTTCGATAAACTCTAGTGTAGTCCTCAAAGACGATATTATGTTAACCACTAAATGAAAAATACCGTTCAATTGCAGAGTAATTCACGTAGCTTTTGTTTGTGGCATGGTATTCAGTCTGTATTTGAGCTGATTATTTGTTCGTGCGGACCAGTTAGCTTAGATAGCATCCAGGATTCTAAGTTCCGTTTGTGAGGAAAGGCGTCCACTCACTGGATGGTTACAACAATATTCAAAAAGCCAAACTCCAGGCAGTGGTAAACTCATTGAAGTGATCGGAGGTCAATAAGCGCAGTCTGTTCCATCGCTTGATTCATCCTTTCCGTTGTAGACTGTAAGACCAACAGTAAGCAGATAACTGGGTTGTGATCGAGGTGTTTGCCTCGATTAAAAAGTAGTCGAAACGGCGTAGTTTTGGAAGCGATGAGCAACAGTTCTGCTAGTTTTTCGGCGGCTTAAGGTACCAATGGTTTAACTGACCACAGCCTACCCAAATGCAGCAACCCAATTCGAACGTTTACTTGGCCTCGGAGTCCAGCCTCTGGTGTATTTAGATGGATTGTTAACTTTTTTAGGTATGACAACAACAGTACTCCCTATCAATTCCAATTCGGATAAGCGAATTCAACGAATTGCTTGTAGTTCAAATGCATGTTGGTCATTCAAAAGCTTGCAAGGTATCCTGTAGTGCACGTCTGCTGTAAGAAAGGCGCTAGGGTAGTACTGACAGCCACGGAACACTTTGGATAAAGGTATCAGGTAACACAAGTATTTTCGTTAAATGATTTGATATTTACCCTATATAATTTGTTTACGTGCTTAAGAGGCAGTCGTGAGACCAATATTTCCGTCCACTATTTGCAGAGTGCTAATGCTCCAAAGAAGATTGGAACGAGTCCATCTGAGGTCCCTGCTAATACTAGCACGGGGGCGCATGTGCACGTGACCTGTGAGGACGGAACAATATCCTTCAAAAGAGCACTGGTCGTTTTTCAACTTTGCCTCCTGCAATTTTATGAATGCTGGTGTACCCATCTGTTCAACGGAATTCCTCCGAACAATCGGCCATTCCGATCTTCGAGACCATTTCAAGATGTTATACGGGTTAGCTGTGATTCGGACCTAGCATATGAATTAAATTCTCGAATTAGTAGTGCTGGATGCTGTTGAAGTAAATCAGTTCTCAATTCTGAATTTAGGAGTTTGATGTAATTCCTAATTAATTTGCCATAGTAAACTTCAGCTTTACAGCCTCCTAACAAAAAGACACCAGGTGGCCATTCATCCTTGTAGAGACTAGTCATTAGTGTTGATTCGCTGAGTGCATCAGAAAACAAACTTCTCCTTGTCGGGCTCATATGCCACCGTAACATTAGCGACTGTGATAGATTCTCCTGACCGATAGATAACTGCGAAATAGTGCGACTCTGTTGTCATGCAAGTCACGAATTTTGCAAAAGACAGGACCAGCCTCCTAAGGCTTGGAAGCTGCTGTTGAGTACGTACAAGAAAATACCCAAGAGGAGCAAATAACACATGCATACCGTCATCGTTATGCACATTAGAAATACTTTTGGTACCGATCAACTGAGGCCAGTTCTTACTTTGTGATCGGTTTAAGGAAGCGAACATCTCTTTCTTTTCTTAATATCTGCTCACCAAGATTGAGATTCGCTTTAGCCATTATCTTCATGATATACTGATTGGCTTGGGATGATCATATCGCTAACATCTTTGCGCCATCATGAGAAGCAAGCCAGAGGTGAGTGCAGAAAACCTACCGACGTCTTTGGACCAGTGCACACTCTTCTGTTCCTTCGTTTGTTCAACTCGTAGAGATGGGTCCACACGGCAACGAGGTGATGTCCTGTGTTGCCTCGTAGATTCAATAGCATATGTACTCAGAACTGAGGTGGGTGAATGGGGGCCGTTGTTATTTCTGGCGCCAGCTGCGGTGGGCACCGTCCCGTTGAGAAGCACAGGCTGTTTGGCGACAGTGGACAACTGGGGTTCGGTGTGCGATTGTTTCAGCCGCTGATACGGTTGCTCCACATGATTCGGTAATTCGATGCGTGAAGGTCGGAAACACGATCCTCCTTCCGCTCTCTTGTTCACCGATATGGGTTTGGAACTTGCGATCGATACTGACCAAGGCACTCGTTGTGCCTTCGGCGCGACAGGCCCATTGATCAACGGACAGGTGCGGTTCTTTTCGCGTCGTGCCTGAATAAGCTGCAGTTCCTGTGGGTAACAGATAGTTAAGGAAGTCATTGTACTACAGTTTATTTTGTTGGCATACTTTCTGCACGCTGCTGCTTGCTTACTTCGCGAAGTATCTCTCTACGGTTTGCAGGCTAGCTGAAATGGACAGCCTTAGGTCAATCACCGAATGTTAAGTACTAATGTCAGAGAATTACAATCGTTAGGCGCTACTGACCTGTTTCCGTTGAAAATGCACGGCCAAGCATACTCTCAAACATAACTCCATTATGGAACTATTACTGCTGTTCATAATAACGAGAATAATACTAGTAATAAGAGCAATGACCGCCATCTGTATAAACTTTGATTGACTGTGTGCATTTTCAACGGTGGCTGATTGTTGTTGACCTCGTTGTTCATATTGCTATTTTACTGTGTAGGCTGACTTTACTTCAAGATGCAACCCTAGTCACCCCGGGGGCATAGGTCCCTTTCTTGGGATGAGTCATATCATTCAGCTGAATTTTGTGGCTTAGTTTTTACCAAAATGAGATCAGGATGTTTGGCTGTCTTTTGCCGTTCTTCCTGTCGCCTCAATAATATTAAATACCACGATAAAAAGGAGATCTTTATGTTCCTTTGACCGTGATCATTAAACGACAAGTGGTCCTTCGGGAGCATTGTGATAAACATTAACTCCTAGCAGTGGCACATGAAACCAGTGCACACAACCAGTGGTGACAGGAAAACAAAAGCCCAGAGTAATTTTGTGTTTCACCGTCACTTCGTTTGTAATGGAGATGTGTATCGTATTCCGCCCACCGGCAGGACACGCTGTGTGCACGCACCCGTTGCGACGGTAACCGATTGAATGGGTTGTGCAGAGACCGTAGCTCGCCATCCGGATCTATACTAATCAAACTACTCATTCTCTTCCCTCTGTGGCAGATAAGGTCGAGTAATCGTTTTCCTCACAAAGTGTTGCTAGCTTACTGATAAAACGGCTGCTTTCACATGCATATTTAGGGTGATAATGGAAGCTACCTACCGCCCCACATGCATTAGTTGTGCGTTTTGATGCTATCGCTGTTTGATATCACCCTGCGCTCTAATCGCGTGCAGCATCACCCGCAACCAGTTTTTATCTTCTAGCAGACAAAGCAGCATATCAAAATTGTATCCAAAATAAGTCATTTCACTGGTTGACGATGTCAGGCGGGTTATCGTCCTTGGGAGGAAACCATTTATGTGCCGAGATTGGTAGCTGTTTGCTGACCCCTTCAACCCATTTTTGCTGCACAATGCCCAGCATGAGTTACCTTCAATTTAACACGCTCACTTGATGGAAAATGCTATGCTGCCTTAGCTGCAAGTCTGATCACTTGGAACCACCGCTACCCAATAAGTAGCTTGAAATACCTTTACCCCTCCCTTCATTTTGGCGAACGAAATAAGGCTTTACTAGAAATCCACTGCATGAATAGCTAAACGACTACCACCATGGGGCCTTATGATCTAGCAATAGACGTCCCTCGACAAAGGTATCAAGCGCCTCCCTCAAGGTGAAAATGGGTTTCACTAAGAAACAATTTACTAGCCTGTTGAGCTCAAAAAGGCGAACCCGTTTTTGTTTTAAACAGAACAAGGCTCGTCAGGAGGCATCCGCTACTCAAGCATCTTAAGTTTTATATGCTGTTCCCAATGTTAATGTATTAAATTCAAAACGGGATCGAACATTCAGCTAGGCACTCTATTCAGCGACACTTAGGTATTCGTTTGCGGTGCTCCCAAATGGCCCAATTCGGCTTAAAGCACGTAGTTGACTTGATCCGGAAACAAAAATTCTAGGCAGTAGGCACGAATGAATTGTTCATGGTAAGAAGATAACATCTGTTTCTCATTTTTACATTGTCTAGTAATAACGCTTATGCATGTGTGAATGTGAGATGATCTCTGCTTTGTGTTTTAGATACATAGGATTACGGTGATGGCGAAACGAAACAATAAATAAATATTGGATCCACTTAGTTTAGACAAACTGAATGCTAATCACCAGCATCATTACTTTCCCCAGAAATTCTACCCCATAGCACCTTGGCCTATCCATATGTCCGAACCAAACAACCACCTTACTCAAGATATATCGTGCAAGTATGCAGAATTAGACATACACCTAGGACACCTGTGGTTGAAATCTACTTGCTTCAGTAGTTACTCGACGAATCACTACGGAATCTTGATGTAACGAACTAGAATCGCCAAAGACTCAGGGAGGGGTTAGCTCAAGAAATTTGCCTATGAGAACCTACACCCCATACACCCAGCAGTTTACAGCCTCTATGGTCCTCCTAAAACATAACCCCAAATTCCTCTAACAGCAGTTTTGGTTATGTGAAACTCATCTTACCAATCGGCTGAAGCCTGGTCGGTCGAGTATAGGGAACCTACTCAAAAGTAGGTCAGTGTGCACAGCCCGATTGCGAGCTTTGTGCATATGGATACTGTGCACGATCTAAGCGACACTTGTCTAGCTAGGGGTTTCAAGATGTTGCCGTACTCTTTACTGGTGTTCGGGTACTTGGAACTGCCGAACTACTCGGAATTACCTTTGTTTATAAAGACCGTAAAAGTATTGTCACACCCAATATGACCTTCAAAGGAAACTGCAGCCTCTGTGAGTATCCCGTGTTTACTTAAGGGGATTCATAGGAGTGGAGCGATTGCTTTTTGATGAGTTGCCCAATTGGATCATTTCTATCGATTCATTCATGGGTTTACTAGAACAATCCAAGTTAACTTTGGTTACCATAGAAATAAGCAGTAATTACCGTCACGCTCGGATCTACAGATTGTTTCGCTGCTTTCGATAGATCGAGAATTGCATTATCACTTTCAGCCAAGCACATGTATCGTCCGAGTTCACGTCCCGAGCTGTGGAAAAATGAGCCTTACCACTTCCCAACATAGCCATATAGAGATTCGACGGTGATGTGACACAGCATCGTGCTTATAGGGAATTTATTTAGAAAAGGCACCAAAGGAAATTTCATAACAGAGCATGGCATTCAGTCTAATGAGTAGCACTGGAAGAATATGTTGAGGCGCCATTTATTTTGAATAATTGCAGCGCCTACCCTACACACTGACCAAAATGGTTACAAAGCAGGTTTCGCAAAGCCAACATGGAACGAAGGAAGAAGGTCCTCGTAACTCCAACACCTGCAAAATCGCTGTGGAAGTCCCTTTTCGTCATCTTGCGCACACCTAAAGGTGCACTTTTCCAACGATCGAAATGAGGGTTTCATTCACCGGTCGTTCCTGGTGAAACGTAACCCTAAAGCAATGCCAGCTTTCCACATCAAATCGAAGTATGCAGGATAGTGGCGATGCTAAACTCTGAGGCTGTCCGACAGGAACTGGGAATGATGTCAGTCCCGGTTAGAAATGCGTGTAGAAAAGATACCGGCTCCTCCACGGTTGCTCTCCTGGCGGATCCAGGCCATACCACTGGATCGCCTGCGTCATTCAGGCATCAAGTAATCGATCGAGACCTAATTGTAGGCATCTAATTAGATCCACAGAGGTCATCCCGATACGACTTTAAGAACCGGAAATATACGTTGTGTAATGCTCACTCATGCGACAAAACAAACTTGGCTCAAGAGGATTGGACTTCCGACAGATTGAGTCACATATAACACGCCCATGGCCTAACTGTTACCGGTTCCCAGTGTCGCTTTTCAACTGAGCGCGTCATGGCAATACTTATCCTGTGTTCACACACACTGACTAGCCTCTAATTATACAAGCCTCATCAGAAAGCGTAAAATATGTTGTCTTGGCTAAAACTGATTTAGTTTTTCTCTAGATACCGCCTATCACCCTGTCCTGAACAAAGAAACAAGAAACTCAACAGCTTGAGTTCTAAACTAACTATTTTACTGGTAACATGCTGTGCCAATAATTGTCGACGTGGTTACTAGTGTGTGAACGTAAATCGCCATCTTGGTTGTTAGGCCCCTCATCTGTGCTCGCTTAAGAAAAAATAATGTATATTCCCGATTTTATACGAGGCACACCAGAGAGTGCTTGATACTTTCTACTACAAGGACTGAAAGTCGAATTTCCGGGGAAAGACATCACCAGCACAAAACATCGACTCACCCTATACTTGTCTGCAGTCATATCTACGTTTTCTTTCCAGTTGATACTTCACTAATGATAGCTTCATTGTGTGCAGACATGACGCATTACGGATGTAAGTTGTAGCGATAGCGGTTTTTGTAGCAATATATTTCTTCCCACTGGAGCGCATCGAAGCTAATCTTTTAACGCGGAGTGAAAAGCCCATTATTTTAAACTAAATCAGTTGGTAACCTCCCAAACTATGTTTAGCATGTCCACATGTGTGAGCACATCTGTCCAGCCCCTAATGTTATCCCAACTGTCCGGTATTGGTTATTAATTAGTGTATTTCCCTTCTTCACCAGTATACGTAGAGACGGATAAAATTAAAAGAGAGCGGTTTCTATGAACTGCTTTTTCCTTCTTGAACTAACACAACCAACACCCTATCAAGCGCTATTATAAACACAGTTGAATAATCTGGCGAGGTGGTCCCTGTTCCGGTTTGCAAATACCTACGTTCACACGACACATCATGAGAACAGATCCTGAAGGACTCTAGTCACAGATGTCACCTTTCGCGGAAGCACCGCCGCAACCAGATTCTAGTGTAGTGCGGTCTCCTTCCGCTTGGTGATCATCGAAAGTATACCACCTCGTATTTGTCAGCCGTGGAACGCACTCTCCGTCACCACTTTCTGCATCCACTTGGGTTGTTACACAGGCTGTTTGATTCCACACACACCTGACAGATGCTTTGTCGTTAAACGGGGCATGTAAAGTTCCAGAGCAAGGCGATCTAGTGAAGCATCAACACCAGTGACTATCCAGTTTTCATGAACAAACGGGCAATAGGACTTATTCCAAAACTCAACACTCAATCACCGTAACAAACCTACAGTGTATTGTATCAG